CAGATATATTATGGATATAGCACGAATCGGTCGACTCGACCGGGGTAGGACCACGCCCGCACAGAATACCAGTGTAAAAGAGCAGCTTGTTTCGTATGGTGAGTGTAGAGAACCTGAGATCATTTTTAATGGAAAAGAGGCATTCCATCTTAGACCTCACGGGTGACAACGCATCTGCATTTCGATTTTTAATCGAAGATAAATGTAGATGTCTATGAGTTTACATCATCCACTTACCATCAGATGGACTATGTGCCCGTTTGTCACCCATATTCAATAAATAAAAAAGTGCATTTAATAAACGTTGACATAAGGACGTTCATTGGATTCATGGATTCGTTCACGTGATACACTTTTACCGTCGCAAACGTACTAACGTTAACTTACCAACAGCTTGATGGTAAGTGGCTACTACTACCCATAGACACCTGCGGTCAACTTCAAACTAAGTGGGCTATATATATGTTGTCAACTATGAGACCTAACATGAAATGCCTCACTGCTTCATTATAATATAAAAATATAATATATAAAAATTAATTTCTGTTTGTTCGTATTTTATGTCCTACCATACAGTTCATCAGGTTGCGGTAAAACTTTGTCAACGCATAGCTTGAACTTGCGCGAAGGTTATAGGCATAGCACAATCAGCTTACAGTAGGTGGCGCGAGTGGCGTACCGATAAATTTATTTAAAAGTTATAATATATTATTCAGCTTCAATGAATGTATTATCATTCCTAATTAAACAATATAACCCTTCCAAATTTAAAACGATGTTTCCACAATTTTTTTTTTCTGCGGCAGCAACGCGCCGGGTACCAGCCAGTATCTAATAATACTCTTATACTGTTTTTCTATAACTTTCAGAACGAAACGTAGCTGTGTAGACACTGCTATTTAGCACCAGAAAGGTGGTACCTACCCTAAACCTGAGTATTCTTTCTACAAATGATGTCCTGTAATCAAAGGGAAAATGGTTTTTTGTTTCACTTCAGTGAGTCACACGGTCAAATGTTATAGGTATAATTTAACAGTATACGGCTCGGGGATTATTAAATGCGATTACAAAGCAATCTTCTGTTAGTTCCTTGAACTTGGCCGTGTAGTCTCCCACGTGCATACCCAGAGGCGGTTCGGTGTTGCCATTAAGCAAATGTCAGGTGCTGAGAGGCACAGCGGTTCCCAGAATGTCTGGGATTCTTGATAGCTTGCGAGAAATGTTGAGACAGGAAATTATAGTACTTCGGTGCTTTCTTCCGCGTGCAACAAACTGTTTTTTTTTTCTTAATATTTTGACTTTTATTTTGTAATAAATGGTTCTTCGTCAACACGCTCAGAAATGAGAAGAAGCCTGTGCCCAGGAGTGGGGCGTATATGGGCTGTAACTTTAACTTTTAAATTTTATTCGTGTTATTATATTTTATTCAGGGAACCTTCATATCTATGCAGGTTCTCTTATTATATTTTACATCTCTGCAGAACACGTATATTCATCACATAATATTATTGCAATTAAAAATTTCATCGGTGCCGGCGCTGATCTAACTATGGTTGCTCGCGAACTGTGAAATTTGCAGCAATTGCCTAGCCCCTGGGCTACCACGAATCTCCTGCTTAAGTAATTTTTAAACTGTTGTTGTTTTTTATTTTGTAAAGGTTCGTCATTCCTGCCATAGACAAAGTGAATCTCTCTGCCCATTCGCCCGCACACTGAACACAACACCACTGGTTATGATATTACGACTGATGCATAGATAATTCATAACTCGCATACTGTTTGTAACTAGTAATCTCGGAGAACTTTACAGTTTCTTAATGCTTGGAATCTTCAGCGCGTTGAGATTTTTACACCCAACGGGACCTACACCGTATACATTGTCCGTTAATTAATAGTTTCGATTTAACTGGATATTATAACTTATTCTGTGCAAATAATTACCTTATTTATAAACATGTTTTTTTTTTTGTTTTTTGTTTTGTTTTATTGTGTTGAAGAACTGGTGTGACACTCACAAAAAAAAAAAGATTTTTCGTATAAACAATAGCTCGCATGCTTTAGAGTCATACATATGTAATTCAATAAAAGTTATTTTTAAACATTCCGACTGAATGCAGTGCTTAAGTTTGCAATGAGCTTTCAATATATTTTTACATGGTAGAGCCACACTGCAGCTATGATATCTATATAGCTGCAGCACGAATGGGTTGGCTCAGCCAAAGTAGGACTAATGCTATAGATATAATAGATAGAACTAACAAAGAAAAATGCTTAATTTTTTTGTCAATTGTTATTTTTTCTACAAAATACTACCGCTCCTTAACAATGTTTTCTGCCTGGACAAAATATAACGAAATAAATTCCGCAGGTATCCCCTTTTTGTCAATGTATTTTATTTTTGTGTTCCTTTATTGATATTGTAATAATTTGATGTACAAAAAACTATAAGGATGGACCCATCCATTATGATCTACGATAAAAAGAGACAAAATATTAAACTGTTATAAGTGTTTTTATAGAATAAGGGTAATAAACGAGCACACAGTCCACCTGTACGAGTTAGTGGATACAGGTTCAAGTAAATGGATACCAGAGTCAAAGACATTTACATTTATTCTCGATTAAGAATAAGAATGCGTTGTCAGTCCTTCCTTTTCTTCAACAACATTTTTACGCACCGTATTTGTTTGTTCCATTACTAAATCATCACGCTCAGGTCCTTCTATGTTTGCAACATTCTCCTGGAAAAATTTTACATGTTTCAATTTTATTCTATATTATTTTTATATAGATTTAAAATGCCACCATATTTTAAATGTTCTAACCATGTTTTTTATGTAGTAGATTTACCTCCGTTAGTTATTTAGTTAGTTTTGTACTGTATTCACATTAATTCATTTAAAATTAACTCTATATACACATTAGCAAAGTGGAAACTAGGTCGCAACTCTTCGCTTTCATCTCCAGCGGGAATAATTTCGAAGTCACAACGCGAATTGGGTCAGTTACATTATTACTTCTGCTTTATCGATTTTGTGTGAGACGTCCATTGATAGTTTTAGTTTCGTATTACAATTTTGACTAACTTAGATATTTTTAAAGGGATAAATGAGACGTAGAGACGATTGCTTACAGATAAGAAGCGAAATAAAGCACATAAATTTAAAACATATTACAAGGTATTAGAGCTCCTTTCTTACTTGCGAGTCCATCTGATATGGTTCTACCTTTTGCCTCTTTGTGCCGCAAAGAATAACATTTTTTTTTTATAAGATAGGGTGACAAACCAGCACACAGTCCATTTAAAGGCCGGCAACGCATCTGCAATTCCCTCCCTGGTGTTGCAGTTGTTCATGGGCGGCGGTAGCCACTTACCATCAGGTGAGCCGCATGGTCGTTTGCTCCCTCTCCTATAAAAAAAAAACCTGATGGTAAGTGGTTGCTGTGGCCCATAGACATCTACATTCCATCCTCGTTTGCGAATCAAAATGCAGATGCGTTGTCACCCGTGAGGACTAAGATGGAATGCCTCCTTTCCAGTAAAAAGAGTCTCCGTTCTCTAACTCAGCATACGAAACACAGCAGTGTTGAGCTGCTATTTTACGCTGGTATTCTCTGAGAGCGTGGTCCTACCCCGGTCGAGCCGACCCATTCGTGCTACAACTATACTACTAATGTAGCTCCAGCATGGCTCTACCACGTAAAAGAAAAGTGTTAAATATCTTGAAGAAACCTGCCCATATCCTTAATTCTATTCCATTCTCCTCTATCAGCTGTAATCTTCTCACTTGATCCTTTGATACATCATCCCTGAAACAATTCATCTATACAAATAAATAAAATTGAAGTGTCTAATTGTAATGTCAAAATTACAGTTTTTTACTAAATGCATATGAAAGTAAATACGGTACTTATAATTAAAATACAAATTTTAAAATTTTTGTCTGTCTGTCTGTCTGTCTGTTTGTTCCAGCTAATCTCCGAAACGACTGGACTAATTTCGACGGGATTTTCACTGGCAGATAGCTCATATTATAAGGAGTAACTAAGGCTACTTTTATTTTAGAAAAATAATTAGGGTTCCGCGTATCATAATTAAAACTCTAAATTGTACGCGGGTGGAGCCGCGGGGAACAGCTAGTTTATGTATATTTTCATAGGCTTCCTTCTACTTTTATACACCTTCACTTTCATAGACATTCTTGAGGAAACCTACATGCCTGAGAAAAATATTTCGAAGAAATATTCCGCACTGGTGCAATTACTCCATAAGTCTCTCAAAAGACCTTTAACTGTATATCTCTATTACAGCTCTTCTCGATTCTACTGCTGAACACAGGCCTCCCTCAGAATGTCATCGAAGACGGTCCTAAGCCACCTGCATCCATCAACTTTCTGCATGATTTAAGTTAATGAAGGACTCGTCTATGGTGGCTCTGGAGAGAGAGAAGTGGAAAGAGAGGGAGGCCTTTGCACTGCAGTTGTACATTTCAGGCTAGTAATAATAATGGTAATAAGTTAATTACCATTATAACGAAATCACAACTATCCCCTAGAATGAGCGGTCTTTATATGCTGGAATGTTTTGTTAAAATCGGTTTACCGGCAAGAATGATGCGAGAGCAAAACGTTTGCGCTATGGTAGTTTCTTTTTCTCATTGGGATGAGGCAAAAATGTTTTAAATCTATTTTTAATAATAAAATGCCTGCCTCGCTGGCTTTTATGCACCTGCTCATTCATCGTCACTAATTTATAATCATACTAATTTAATTTTATAATAATCGTTTCAAGCATTCTAAGGCTGAGATTAGTGTCAAAATGAATTAGATAATCGATATTCCACAGCAAAATTATTGTTTGTGTTGCAAATCTGTCGGTGACGGTCCATTCAGCCCCACGGCTAGTGCGCAAAGCGGTTGACATCTAAAATTTATTATTACGTAGAGCAACAGGGGTATTCACCAGCCCACCAGCTGCAATGTGCAAGCCGGAGCCATTCAGTCGCCTTGCAGCGTTCGCGCTAGGTGTGTGCGTTTGGCGTTACAGTACCGCGCGTCCGTTCGTTTTGATATTTCGACTTTCGTTATTAACTTATAGCCAAAATATCGTGTAGTCTACATCTATATTGACTGCGTTGAATACAAAAATCTATTTTTGTAACTGAAACGTCGTGGTTGTTTGTAAACAGTGATGGGGTGATTTTATATTTGGAATACTTTACAACTTACGTTCTATCCATAGACAAGTTTTGAGTTTTTATTAGTGAATTTGACGGATAAAGTGTACTTGTGATTTGGAAATAAAATTCTATTTGTTTTGTGCCAGTGATGTGATTGAGTGGATACATCAAATATGTTTGGAGTATTTATCCGGAGATGGAAACCTAAAAGGTTTGTTTTCAAGATAAACCTACTTAATTTAGTTCTTTTAAATATTATATGTTTTTGTTGTATTACATTTTATTGATGTTTCAGTGCTGAAGTTCCAGTGCATTGAAAAAAATATAGACTTAATGTGTTCAAAGTAATTTACGTAAGGATAATCTTAGTTCAATTTAGCTTAGACAATATAATAATAATTATAACACTATGTACGCCTGTAATGAATATTATTTTTGTTTTGTTCATACGTATTCTTATAACATTTCTTTTGGACAGTATTTATTAGCTGTCAATGCACTGGAAAAATTGTAGCGTCAATGCATCATACTAGCAAAGTAATTTACGTCAAGATTATTTTAGTTCTATCTAGATTTACAACATAACATCATTCTAGGTATGAATATATGCACCTGTTAAGACTTATTATAATCACGTTACGTTCGAACAGTATTTATTGGCGATTGCATGCAAAGAATGTAGACTCAATTTATTTAACTAGAAAGTACCTACTTTACTTATGAATTATTTAAGCTATATTTTGCTTAGAAAATAATAGAACATAGCATTACCGAAAGTATGAGTTAATATACTTGTTTAGACTTTATTACATTAACCTCACTTTTCGACTCTATATACCTATTGGCCAATGCATTAGAAAACATAGGTACATGTTAACTATATCTTGCTAAGAAAAAAATATAATATAATATTACGCAAGGTATGAATAAATGTATCTGTTCATACATATTATTACTTTATAAAGGAATTGATTATATATTGTAAAATCTTATTTTACTTTTTGTGCCCAAGAACTGCGCTAGACATTCATTTACGTGGTAGAGCCATTCTGCAGCTATATTAATAGTATAGTTGTAGCACGAATGGGTCGGCTCGACCGGGAAAGGACCACGCACTCACATAAAGCCAGCGTAAAATAGCTGCTTAACGCTGCTGTGTTTCGTATGGTGAGTGTAGATAACCGGAGACCCTTTTTACTGGAAATGAGGCATTCCATCTTAGTCCTCACGGGTGACAACGCATCTGCATTTTGATTTGTAATAGAGGATAGATGTAGATGTCTATGGGTCACAGCAACCACTTACCATCAGGTGGACTGTGTGCTCGTTTGTCATCCTATAAAAAAACACTTTAATTTGTGTTACTGAACTTTCATAATTATTATGTACATTTTATCAAAAGTAAAAAATTAAGTATAATTTCAGCGACAGTTGGTTATAGCGCGGCATATATTTATGTTTTATCTAAATAATACCCTGCTGAGCATTCAATAATACTTACCAGCGCAACTGTGTTGGTGTATAGAAAAACAATGGAATATAATAATGTATATAATTTTTTTTACGACGTACGAATTATTTGTTTACAAATATTTCCATGTTAGATATATTTTTACACTAATATTTTGTACCCATACAGTTTCTATTCTGCCTAAAAGTCTTTAAATATCTATTTCTACCACTAACAGCAGTGCACCAACTACAACCAGACGATTTAAAGGCCACAGGTAGAGAGCTACAATCTATCGTGCTCAGGAGTCGCACGTTAACAACGCATCAGTAGAGCGTCTTTTGTTTGATCAAATCAAATCCTTAAATAAAACTAATTTTACGGATTTTATCGCGTATATTAACTTATTTTTATATTCCCGACGTTTCGGGTGCTTTCCAGCACCCGTGGTCACGGGGGACTGAGTTGTTTGACGTCCTGCTGTCATAGTTAGCCCGGCTACCTTCAGTTTTTTAATATCAATTTTTGGTTCGATTTACGCAGAATGAGCTTACAGTATCTTGAAGTCTAGCAGTGGTATACTTGGGTTTGGATTTGATTTTATTAATTATGGGATCCCAAGCAGATGGCAGCACCCATCCATCTTCTCTATTGAAATTAGGATGTTTTTTAATTTCAATAGCCTCGCGAATCATCCTTGGGAGGAATCGGTGTTCTTTTGCGAGGATTTGTGGTCTATCAAATCTAATGTAATGACGGGGACGATCCTGAACATGTTCACAAACTGCAGACTTCCCGATACGTCGGTGCTTCACGTCAGCTATATGTTCTTTAACGCGGGTTTTAATAGATCTTTTTGTTTGTCCTATGTACGAGAGACCACATTCACAATCCAGCTTGTACACTCCTGCATCTTGTAGAGGGATATGACACTTGACGGATGGTAAAAATTGACCAATCTTCTTCAGCGGCTTGAAGTACGTTTTAATGGAAGCTCGCTTCAAGATGTAGCCAACCTTGTCTGTGACTCCTCTGACATAGGGTAGTACAGCAGGCACACGCTCGACTGTGGCTGGCTTCACTCGGTCACTGTGACGTAGGCGCGGGACCCGAAGCTTGTTGTCTTGCAGTACTTGCTCGACGTGCTGAAGCTCGGCGGCCAGATGTTTTCTGTCACAGATCCCTCGTGCTCTCTGAAACAAAGATTTTCCCACGGTAGCTAACTGTGAAGGATGATGGTGAGATTCACCATTTAAATATCGGTTGGTATGGGTATTTTTTCTGTACACAGTATGACCAATAGTGTTATCAGGATTTCGGATGACTAAAACATCTAGAAAAGCTAAAGTATTGTTTGCCTCTAACTCCATTGTGAATTGTATTTTAGGGTTTATGGAATTAAGGTGGTTTAAAAATGCAGTTACTTTGTCAGATGGTAAAATTGTGAAAGTATCGTCTACGTACCGCTTGTAGAATCTTGGATTTACAGGAGCAGTAAGAAGGGCTTTCTCCTCAAAGTCCTCCATGAATATGTCGGTGACTACGGGAGATACAGGTGAGCCCATTGCCACTCCGTCTACTTGCATGTAGAACTCTTCTTTCCACAATAAATAGCCAGATGTGAGGCAGTGTTTGAGTAATACTGCATATTCTGTAGGCATGTTGTTCTCTTCTAGCTTTCTAGTAACAATTGAGATGCAGTCTTCAATAGGTAGGCATGTGAATAGTGACTGAACATCAAAACTGACCATAGTTTCATTGTCAGCGAGATGTAGGTCTTTAATCTCACTAACAAAATGGTATGAATCCTTTGTGTGTGCTCTGGTATGTCCTCTTAGTGGTGACAGTATTTTTGCCAAGTGTTGAGCCAACTTATAAGTTGGTGAATCGATCTGGCTTACTATAGGACATAGTGGAGCGTTTGGTTTGTGTATTTTCGGTAACCCATACAACCTCGGTGGTTTGGCACATGATGGTATTGTCGAATTCACGTCAAGATCTAATTTTTCGGAGTATTTCTTTAAAAAAAAAATTAGATCGGAAAGCACCCGAAACGTCGGGAATATATAAAAATAAGTTAATATACGCGATAGAATCCGTAAAATTAGTTTTATTTAAAATGTTGCAACTATGGCAAACATCCTTCTGATAGTAGTCAAGCACTAGTTTATTACCATTTGCTTTACATTATATTACACTATCAACTTCAATATAATTATTATAAATTAAAAAAAAGTTCAAAATAACTATCCCATTTACACCTAAAATATCTTGAAAAGTGACGGGAAACAGGCGAGACGTCTGGTTCATTTAAATGATCCATTGTGAAACATAAAATATATACATTTTGTTAAAAAGCAATATTCAGGCGTAAAATAAAAGATTAGATTTTTACCGTTATAATTTATTACAATGTAATCAACTCGTGGAGCCAATTTTCCCCATTACATTTTGTACAGAGGAAACCTTCGAAGCGCAGAAACGAGAGATCAGGGAGCTCTGTACAGATTAGTGCCGACTCCCGCGGGGTTTCCGCACGATCTAACCGTTTATCGGGTATCGCCTTGCTCAGGAGCGTCGGGTTTTAAAGAAAATGATGTCTTGTTTGTTTGAGTGTTGATTCGAGATAATACTAAGGGTTTTTTTTTATAGAATAAGGGTAACAAACGAGCACACAGTCCACCTGATGGTAAGTGGTTGCTGTGGCCCATAGACATCTACATCTATCTTCGTTAGCGAATTAAAATTCAGATGTGTTGTCAGCCGTGAGGACTAAGATGGAATGCCTCTTTTCCAGTAAAAAGGGTATCCGGTTCTCTACACTCACCATACAAAACACAGCAGCATGAAGCTGCTATTTTACGCTGGTATTCTGTGAGAGCGTGGTCCTTCCCCGGTCGGGCCGACCCATTCGTGCTACAACTATACTATTAATATAGCTGCAACATGGCTCTACCACGTATAAAAACAAGATAATTTTACTTTATTAATTAAACTCATCTTAGTCAAGACGCATTGTCGCTATAACTATACATTTTTAACATTTATTTTGTATAAGGACCAAACAAAAATACTCTGAAGTGTATATTACACTTGAATGTCATCTACATGCATGTGATATTTGCAGTTATGAAAGGATTAGGATATATTTACATTACATAATGTACCAAGGGTCCCAGAATTGAACCTTGGGGAGTTCTCAGGCCAGAAGCGTGGACCTTCTCCGATCGAACTGTCCATTGTTGCTGCAAACATTAACATAGTAAATAAAGTGTCGATCAAACCATTTTTTGAGTTCAGTCCAAATACCATCCGAGTAACAAAATACATAAGGTGTTCGGAAAATTCGTTATAACATAATGTACAAATTTTAAACTAAAAATCAATCCCACCTGGAATCGAGATGAATACCGCGATGCAGGAAATGGCTATGTCTGAGAGACGAGACGGGTACCGTTGGAACATTAATCGTATATGTAGTAAGAAAATTAAAAATTATGTCACGAATTTACAGTGAATTTTGTAGCAAGTATAAAATTTCTCATAAATACTTTGAGTTTATGGTAATCTTATACAACTTAGAGCGGAGAAAGTGACAGAATTTTATGAACTTCGAATCCATTGCTTATTCCTTGCGAAGATGTCGTAAAAGGCGTCACTGCGAAATGCCTAATAAATGTTATGGCTTGCGATAGATGGCGATATAACCATCCATATTCCTTATTTACTTATATGTTTATGATTTTAATAGTCCTTATAAT